ACTTATATTTATAATATCACCTCTATTACTGGTATGTCTGCAGTGCTTAGCCAATGGGAGAGTAAGACAGATCACTGAACTTTCTTCCTCATATTGAAGTAACCTCTCACTTTTCAGAAAGTTCGCAGAATGAAAATATTCCAAAAATGTGTAAATAGAAATTTCTAAAGATAATTCTGCAAACTAAGCCACGGTGGTAAGTAAGCGAGGCATAAACTTCACGAACTATAATGTTTTTCAGGAAAAAGAGCAAATTACAGATATTCTTACAAAATTATCTTACAAATGTGTGTGTGCTTTGCCATAGTAAAACCACATAGAGTTATCTACTGTCTCCACCGAGGGGAATAGAACTCCTGATTTTAGCGTTGTAAATCCGAAGACCTACCGCTGTCCATAGGGGATAAACAGATTATTTGTTTTGAATTTCGCACAAAGCTAATCGAGGGCTATCTGCGCTAGTCGTCCCTAACTTAGCAGTGATAGCCTAGAGAGAAGGCAACTAGTCAACACCACCCACCACCGACTCTTGGGCTACTCATTCACCAACGAATAGTTGGGTTGGCCATAACGTTATAACGCCTCCATGACTGAAAATGTAAGTATATTCGTAAGTATATAGCTAAAAACGTAACAATGAAAACAACAACTACTCAAAAGCAGTGTGGCCCATACATACGTACGTGGTTAGCGTTCCCCATCTGTGAATGTGAGGGTTGTGGTTCGCGTCCTGTTGCCACAAAAACGTCCTTCGAATTTTGGGCCGTGAGTGTGCTACACGAGAGATGGTCAAATCCCACTATTGGGTGAAACAAAAATAACCCAACAGTTAGTGTGCAAAACATCTAAAAACAAACAGTCAAGCAGTGAACTTACGAAAAACATGACTGATTGAAGGCACAGTCTCTCTGGGATTCAGTACTGGTAAACGAAAGCATAAAAAAGGGCAGATTTGGAAAACTAAAGGTTTTCTGAAGTTTTTGTAACATGACACATTACATGAAGGTGAAGAGACTACCATTAGAACCAATTAAGAAACTACTGCTACTACAACTAACGAAAAGATCAGTGAAACAACCTCCTGTTACTTTATCTAAGAAATTGAAGAAACTATAACTTCTTATGAAAAAGACAATTCTATAGATGGAAAGCACACGGAAAGCGAAAACACGTGTATTTCTTTTGAGTGCTCCTATTTTCAAAAATCAGCTAAAATGTTAGGAAGTTTGGTTTTGATTAAGCATAAATCTATGCTGTGACAACCACAGTTCTAATAATACAACTAATTATACTTGACTCTTCCAAAAGATATGCCCCCCCCGTAGCACAGCGGTATGTCTGCGGACTTAAAACGCTAGAAATGGGCTTTCGATACTCGTCGTTGGCAGAGCACAGATATCCCATTGTGTAATTTTGTGCTTAATTACAAACAAACCCTCAAAGTTATTACTCACGACAACTGGCAAAAAGAGAAGAATGATCAAAACAGTTCAATATTCAGTTACATGCACTTCAGCTCAAGAAATAGAAAAAAAAAGGATTTACAAGCTTTTCAGAATTTTTAATCGACAGGAAAAGTTAGCAAGCAAGTGATCTGGAAATATTTCAACATCGTAAGTAATTAGAATAAACGAGAGATGAGGCAATGAAAGACTGCACGTGAAAAATCGTTGCCTTGATAAAAGTCATAGAACGCAAACTGTTGTTCTTCGTGGAAGTCTTGAGAAGCTTTTCATACCCAGAGAATTTCTTATTACGTTAAATACTTAGCCATGCTTCATCCTGTCATGAAAACACATCTTTGAATAAGTATAATACAAGGAATTCATAAGTGTTATCTGGGAAAGAGCATTCAGAATGTGTTGACTCAATTGCTGTTAAGCAAGTTTCAGATTTGTGTTGACAGCTACTAGAATTGAGAAACCTTATTTGTTTTTACTAGACTACACTTTAGACATAAAGGAAACAAAACAGATGACAACAATCATACGTTTATTTTACTGCTTCAAATATTCGTTGGGATGTATCATTATAACATGATTCCTGGTTAACTGTGAAGCCATGGAATAAATTGATGTTGTTCATGCACTCCCAAACCAGTTGGAAGGGGCCTCCACAGCAAAAGACAACATTCACGGAAGGCAGTAGAACAAAGTCGCATTCAGGACCAGTGGTGGTATAGCAGACTAGCTATAACAAGTCAATCTTGCCAAGAAGAAGCTGCGTAGTTTCTGCCGATCCCCGCTGTTGGTGAAGTAAGAAGCTCTTCTAATTTCAAATTGCTTAACACCTAAACTTTTCCGAATTCAAATTGTTTAAAACCTGATTACCAGTGTGACGAATTTAATATTCTAATATCAACGCTTGTTTAGATTAAGTTTATATTTAAAAACATGCATAGCTTATAGTGTTAGATATGTATTGCGAAACTCCCGCCTATTCTCCAAAGTTGTAGAAGATTCTCGAGAGTAAAAATCAACAATATATGTATGTACGTAAATGCTTAAATGTAGCTCAGTATTGTTACATAAATCTGAATTTTCTAGAAAGCATCCACACGCTTATAAATATAACTAACGCGACGCGCCAAAAAGAGTATCTATTTGTATTATTAGTTTGCTATAGTCAATGTGCTATAAACTTCGGAAGCTATAACTGTGATTGTTATAACGATTATCAATCGGAAAACCTTTACAAAGTTCGAACATTACAAATAATTTAACTTCAGTGGATTCTCATCGGACATTAGTATTTTTACGAAAACGTTATATAAATTAATTGTGGAAAACTCGGCGTGTGTGGCTGGTAAATAACGAAGGACAAAACTAGCTAGTTAGCTTCCTGTGAAGTGAATTATACCTACATCAACTCGTAATCAACTGGCTCATCGTGAACCCTCGATAAGATATCGAAGAAGTTTCAGACTAGAAAGAAGACTTTATATTGCTTGTAAGTTTGTGAAACTTCTGTTTATAAATCATTGTAATAACTATTTGTAATAACTGTTATTGTACATTGTATTGTTGTTTGTATATTAAAACATATTTGTGTTAAAAAAGGAAACTGTGTGTATCAATCTTGTTGGTAAATATCACAAACTGACTATATATCGGCTTTTACTTAACTGCTAAATCCAAAGTATAATTTAACTACTAAATTTAAATTTACCAGTTAACTTAATTTCAGGCTATTTAAAATTCTAATACGTAACACCAGTCATAACCAGTGGCGCAGTGGTAAAAAAAAAGTACTAGAGCTGTAACACTTTACAATGTGTAATGTACAATATGTAGCACACTGTAAGTTAGTGTTTGCAAAACCCTATAAGTAACCTTCAATAAAAGCGTCAGCCAAATTACTAAACGATAATAGTTGTTGTGTTATTATTAATCCATACATTTTCCGTTCTTCGATTTCTTTTTATAACGCTCATGTTTTTTGTATATTTTTTTACGTTTATTTGGCAATATTGCTTCGGACAGTTCAAAACACTTTTAATAGGTCACAGGGTAGTGTGATATGTTTATGGCTAGATTCTATAGCAATGTACATGTTAAAGCTTTATCAGAACTTAATATCTACTTATCCTGATTTTCAAGAAATAGACATGCCAAAGCCCTGCAACTTGTTAGATAGAAGAGTGATAAAAGCTGTGCTGAATTCTGATACTTTCTTCGATTCTGATTGGATGAAAGATTTGTCATCTATTTAATACTTTATATGGTGAGATGAAATACGTTGTATAGGAAGTCAATGAGGCTCAACACACACCTGGTCATAACACGCAAAACGGGTGATAACTTTGATCGAGTATGAAATTACACAATAAACAGAACAATGAAAGCAAAATAAGTGGCATATCTGTAAAATTTCAACTACCCTGGTAGTAATGTGTTAATTGTTCCCGTGAAATTTTCTCATGCTTAAATAAACAAATAAATGTGATTTGATTTCCTGTCCTACATTTTTTACACCATTAAAAGTAAGCTTGGAAGTGGTAAAATAGTTCCGAGCCTCGAAAGTTCAGACAAAATACACGTTCATTAATTCGTTCTTTGAAAATGTAGGCTATGTTTATATGTTTAGCAAAAAGAAAAATATCTATTTCTAAGTCCAGTAATAATTTATATTTTTAGTTATTCATTCGTTCAGAATTGGTTTATTTTGTTGGTATCCATCATTTTCAGTAATAATGTACAAAAACACAAGTTTTTGCTTTATATATTTTCATCAAGAAGCACAGATGTGTTGAAAGCGTCGTAACACTTCGTTACTGATTCTCTTGGTTATAACACAGGTGCTGCAGATGTAGAAAACTAAACTATTCCTAAACTCAAACAGCTGACGCTGACATAATACAATACTTAGGCCACTTTCTTATAAAACTGTAGCTGAACGCGGCCCAGTGATTAGCCTGCCAGCTTTGGATCAAAAAGTGTAGTACAATTTTGATCTATTTGGCCCGGCATGGCCAGGTGGTTAGGGCGCTCGACTTGCAGCCTGTGGGTCGCGGGTTTGAATTCCCGTCACACTAAACATGCTCGCCCTTTCAGCTGTGGAGGCGTTATAGGGTGGTGGTCAATCCCACTATTCGTTGGTAAAAGTGTAACTCAAGAGTTGGCGGTGGGTGGTGATGACTAGCTGCCTTTCCTCTAGTCTTACACTGCTAACTTAAGGACGGCTATCGCAGATAGCCCTCGAGTAGCTTTGCGCGAAATTCATAACAAACAAATAAACTGATCTATTTATACTTAACCGCAGCTGCCACTATTGTAGTACAATGCTTATCATTTTTTTCTGTTGACACAGTTGTCGTGGACATAGTACAGGCTGTACAGAGTCATCTCATGACTCGAGATTTTGGTATGTTAGTAAAGTTTACTTCTTTCTAAACATTTTGTTTCGACAAATATTTGTCAATGAAAGTACTACAGTTACAATGCTTTATTTACTTTAAACATCAAATTCCCATTAGTTTAATACAGAATTAACTAACTCACCTACGTCGAAATTTCTACAGCTCGCAGTCGTCAACGGCCAATCTACGATTAATAATAAAACATGAAGTGTATCAAAGCGTTCCAGACTGAGAATGAACTCTCGAGACACTCGTCACGTGATGATGCCAGTGATGACGACCAAATATCGAACACTTGCACCATTAGACTGAATTGTGGGATAGACTTAAGTGAATATACGTGAAGTTTACTCTCAACTAGAGCGACGTCCATTGTTAGTATGAAAACGTTTGTTAAGTTTCCTTCCACTAATGATTTTACCTTTTTTTAATTAACAAATTAAAATTTTACTTGAAGTCCCCTCGACGTATTACATCAAATGGTGCGGCAGTGTTTTAAAACAAGAATGAGGCAATAATATAGGTTTATGTTTGTATAGTGTGCCAAATAATTATGTTAGAAGTATAGTTTTTATATTCTGTTTATCTCTGTGTTTCGTAAATTGTTCCTTTCATATTCTGTTAAAACATACTTTTAAAAACCTTGGATAAAATGTTATTTTTAATCATCCTTCTAGTGTGCTCTATTAAACGGAATTTTAAGGCGGTGAACAAGCTAAAAATATAGTGTGTTAGAATTTATGTCAGTATACCAGAGCATAGAAACCAGAGGAAAAAAATAAAAATAAACAACATACAAACTAAACGTGCATTTCGGAAACAAAATTTGCACAAGAAATAACCGTTATATTTTCAAATAAATAATTAAAGCTGTACTTTAGTTTAGTTTGTTTGTGAATTTCGCGCAAAGCCACACGAGGGATATCTGCGCTAGCCGTCCCTAATTTAGCAGTGTAAGACTAGAGGGAAGGCAGCTAGTCATCACCACCCACCGCCAACTCTTGGGCTACTCTTTTACCAACGAATAATGGGATTGACCGTCACATTATAACGCCCCCACGGCTGAAAGGGCGAGCATGTTTGGTGTGACGGGGATTCGAACCCGCGACCCTCAGATTACGAGTCGAGTGCCCTAACCACCTGGTACTATAAAAGTATATACTATAGCTACATAAAAAGAGAGCATTTGTTTGTTGAATTTCGTACAAAGATATCCGAAGGCTAATCTGCACTAGTCGTCCCTAATTTCGAATTGATAGACTAAAAGGAAAGCAGAGAGTCAATACCACGAACCGCCAACTCTTGGGCTACTTTTTGCCAACGAAATTTGGAAATTAACTGTTATATTATTACACCCAACGGCTGAAAGGTATTTTCAGGTAAAACCGACTATCTGACAAATATCAGACAAGCAAACCTGCAAGTAACACCAAATTCGATCAAAAAATAAGGGAGGTGTTCTATAGATGATAACTTCACTGAATTTTAAGTTGCTTGAGAAATAAACAGATTTGACCATTTAAATGACTGTGAAAACAATCTTTATTTAAACACAACATAAAAACAGTGTGGTAGACAATTGGACGATCGCATCTACTGGATTAGTAAATAGCTCCCCAGTTTTCCGTCTCTCAAGATAAATTTCTGTCGAACTAATAACGATGAAAGCTAAATAGAACTGAACAAAGACCTGGATATCGAATATCACCTCTCTTTCTTTGTCTAGTGGACGGCGTCACTTCGTGGCCTATGTTCCCTAGCAGCATTGGCCAAATACCAGTTTTAGTTGACATCATAGTTCGGCCAGCAAAATATTGTTAAGTCTCTGGTCATTTGTTAATTTCCAGTAAAAATTCTTTCCGAGGAACTTCAGCGATACAAGTCCTTTCTTAATTAAAACTAGTTTATTCTTTCTTGTTACATACTTTGTAATACACTTAATTTCCACAGTCACTTTAACTTAAACACACGCTATAATTCACAACGATTCGCGCACTTTTCTTACGGTCACTACCACTCACTTAACTCGATTATCTGTCTCTATATCTTCCTGTCTGCTATTAATTTCTCTGCTTTATTTGCCGGTCTTAAATATACTAAATAGAGGGCGTCTGGCAAACACTCGAGCCTTCACGATCCTTCTAGAAACTCATCACGTGCTACAAGCGTCACGTGACTTCTGCTGTGTAACAATATATTCCAGTTTTAACTAGTTAATCCCGGGCTCAAGATAGAGCATTGAAATAATCTTGCGGGAAGAGGACGTCACCTACCAAAAGAAGAAAGGGCTGAAGTGACTAAAACAAGATAATATTGATAATCCTTAACCACGTGTTGCCGCCATGACAATAGAGAAAATAATTGATCAATATTTTGGTATAATCATATGTTACTATGGTATGTTTGAATACCACATATGCTCGTTGACGGGATTTTAATCCACGGATTATACATCTATCACCCTAACCACATGGCCATGCCAGGCCTAAAGAAAGAGAGAACTTATCAACAGTAATGTGATTGTCTACTAGAAAATGTGCTAATATGCCAACATTGACAACGTATGATTAGTGCATGGCAACAAGTAGTACAGGAATAAAGGAGTTGACAGGTTGTTTGTTTTCTTCATATTCAAGTAGGGGATAAGTAAACGATCACAAAATCTTGGATAGACATTTGTCAACCCGGAATTTTACCAATACTACATCCATCAATTACAATTATTATTTTTATTAGTAACCTCTACATGGGAAATATTTTATGTTGAAATTTGTAAGTAAGATTTTCTTAAGGTTGATGTGTAATACGACCATAAATAAGTGTAAAACCGGCCGTAAACACCCTTTCCGCCTCACCTTCCTCACATTGAATGTATCTGTAATGCGCATTAGGACTGCTTTATAGGGTTACCAGATTTCCAGAGTGAAATATTGGGACATTTTTACTCTATACGGAGTGATACTGTAAAAACTCTGACACAATTTCAATAACACATGTGTGTTATGTGTGTGTTTCTTTATATTAAAGCCACATCGGACTATCTGCTGTGCCCAACTAGGGGAATCGAACTGCTGATTTTAGCATTGTAAATCCGAAGACTTACCGTTGTCCCACCGGGGAATTATATTGACACACTTTTTAGCATTTAAAATATCTGATGTTTATTGTATCGCGTTTTCAAATCGTGGACAAACAATATTTATTCAAATATTATCTAGTTACAAAAATAATAAATAGAATAAAATAAACTTCCTAAATTGTCTTGAAAGAACTCAGAAGAAAATTGTTGCTTCTTAATTTCCTTTTTTCGCGTCTTGGTAGATCTCTATATCTCAATCCCTACAGCTGTTCAATTACAGGTTAGTTTAAGAAAACGTATGATTTGTCTTTGACAGGAGATTCTCCAAGTAAATGAGCTGCGTATAATGAGAAACCTACAAATCAAATTTACATTGAAACACAGAAAAATTGGAACAATTCAATACTTTACTGGTTTTTTTTTTTTTCGGTATAAAGACCCAAAGCTGTTTGTTTTTTGTGACGTCTGTTAACGTATACAGCAAGATATCCTGTCACAACTGCTTTAGACTGGTGAGCTATTACCTTTCCGTACAATATGTTAAAAATGAAAAGAATACTGTTACAACATATTTTATTGATGAGTGTAACAAAAGCAACTGCACAATAAACATTTTATCCTGTACAGAAATGAACACCTTAATGCACTTTGGTATAACAAGCAGGCCTATTTCTAATAAATTCAGTAATGCACTAAGCAATATTTATGTGACCTTGGATTTTCAATTGCACATAAGCCACACTCAAAACTTTAACACATTGTATTACTATATTAACAAATAGTAGATGGCCAGGTGGTTAGGGCACTGAAATCGTAATCTGCGGGTCGCGGGTTCGAATCCCTGTCACACCAAACATGCTCACCCTTTCACCTTTCAGCCGTTGCGGCATTACAATGTAATGGTCAATCCCACTATTCGTTGGTAAAAGAGTAGCCCAAGAGTTGGCGGTGGGTTGGGATGATTAGCTGTCTTCCCTTAGTCTTACACTGCTAAATTAAAAACGGCTAGCGCAGATAGCCCTCGTGTAGCTTTCCGCGAAATTCACAACAAACAAACACACAAACAAGAAATTATAGATAAAATCTTTATTAGTTATTTCAGCCGACCTGTTTCGGTAATAGCCATTGTCCCTGATGATGGTAACAGTGTAACCGATATTGGTCGGCAGAAATAAAGATTTTAGCTTTCAATGTGCTAGAAAAACGAAGTTTTTGTTTTTCACTCTTAATATAGCTTAAGCGCAATTGAAACAACACAAAAAAACAATGTGAAATCAGCATATTTCATTATTTCCTTGGATTTAGCCCGTATTGTAAGCTATATTTTTCAAAAGAAATATTATTGTATACAAATGTATGTTAATTTTACAAAGCCCCCAAGTGGCACAGCGGTATGTCTGCGGATTTACAACGCTAGAAACTGGGTTTCGATACCCGTGGTAGTCAGAGCACAGATAGTCCATTGTGTAGCTTTGTTCTTAATTACAAACAAACAAATAGTTCTACAAAACAAAAAGTGTTTCTGTTTTCTAAAATTACGTTAAGTTTAAATCACTTGTCATCAAACGTTTAAGCACCTGAATGAGATAAGGCCAGGTGGTTGGGGCGCTCGACTCGCAATCTGTGGGTCGCGGGTTCGAATAATACACGAGGGCTATCTGCGCTAGCCGTCTCTAATTTAGCAGTGTAAGACCAGAGGGAAGGCAGCTTGTCATCACCACCCACCACCAACTCATGGGCTACTCTTTTACCAACGAATAGTGGGATTGACCGTCACAATATAACGTCCCCACGGCTGGAATGGTGAGTATGTTTGGTGGGACGGGCTTTGCGCGAGATCCATAACAAACAAACATCACATGATGAGCGCGTGGCAACTAATGACTTGAACTTCCTCCAGAAATTTATAAAATGGTTTGAATTGATAAAAATGCGTGTTAGGCGATATTAAATTAGCTTGTTGAGTTATCAGTGAGTTTATTACAGTAGCTGAATGAATAGTGTATTTAGCGAATTTGCTAGTCAGTTTGTCTGTTGCTTCAATTTTGTGAATACTAAATTTATGTTCCAACAAAGTACCAGAGGTACTTGAATTACAGCACTTACGATATTAATTAGCAAATAAGTAAGCTTATTGTGTTATAAGCATTTACTGTGAATTTAGGCCTATTACTGAGTGCTAGTTAAGAAACTTGTAGAACTGTTAATCGACGAAATAAAACGCTTTTGTTATCATTAA